GGATATAGAAGAATTGAATATGTTTGAAAGAGTTGCTACTGAAATAATGGCAAGTAGAAAATTCGATCTTAGAGGGGGGGAGTACACCGACTTAACCGAGGAAAATTCACAGCCACCTACAAATGTTCTTGGTATGAGCTGGGATAAGAAATATGATACTCTTCAAGTGAGTACAAGTTGCATTAAAGAGCTTAACATTGAGAAAGTAACAAAAAGAACCATCCTGTCAGCTGCACATAGACTTTTTGACCCCTTGGGTATGATCTGTCCTGTAACGTTGATCCCAAAATTGCTTCTTCAGAGCATTTGGAAGTTGAAACTGAATTGGGATGATGATGTTGAGGAAAACATCAGAAGAGAATTTTTGAAATGGATTGAAGGTGTACTGTATATTGAGAAAATTAATATTCCAAGGTATTTTGGACTAAGTGGAGCCAAGAAGTCTTCCATTCATTTCTTTTGCGATGCAAGTAAATTGGCCTATGCTGTGGTTGTTTACATTAGAGTGGAGTCTGAGAATAATGTACGAGTTCAATTACTACAGGCGAGAAGTAGAGTAGCCCCTACAGGAAAAGGAGAAATTACCATAGCACGACTTGAACTTCTGGCAGCAACCATTGCATCTCGTCTTTCAACTTCAATTTTGTCTGAGGTAACTCATGATGAAGTGTTTTTTTGGTCAGATTCCACAACTGTTTTGGCCTGGATCAAAAGAAGTGAACCATGGGCCATTTTTGTTTATAATCGAGTGCGTGAAATCAGAGAGCAGACTGATGTTAACAACTGGAGACATGTTCCTGGGACGATGAACCCAGCTGATTTGCCAAGTAGAGGATGTTCTGCACAACAACTTCTGCGATTGCAATGGTCAGAGGGTCCCAGTTGGTTGCACTTACCTCAAGATTTGTGGCCTTCGTCTGAAGATGTCGTTAATGAGGAGGAAGTAAACTGTGAGAAAAGAAAAGGTGTCACAACCTCAATGATAAATTTTGAAGTGACAAAACTTTTGAGTTCTAATATTTCTGACTATCGAAAAATTGTACATACTATGGTATGGGTGAAGAGATTCCTTTTTAATTGCAAAAATGAAGAAAGAAGAAAAGGAGATCTTTCTGTTAAGGAATTAGAAGAAGCTGAGAAAACTACTGTATACTTAATACAGCAGGAGACCTTTACAGGAGTTTCAGATAAACGCCTTAAAACTCTAGATGTATTTATTGATGAGAAAAGAATCTATAGATTAAAAACAACTGTATATAAAAGAGATGATTTTGAAGAGTTTAGAACACCTGCTATTTTACCTGGAGCGAATTCTATAGTAAAACGTTTAGTACTGTTTGAACATAAGAAAAATGGACATGCTGGTGTTTCCTACACATTGAATTCTCTTAGAGAAAGATTTTGGCTACTGTGTGGTAGAAGAACAGTAAAATCTGTATTGAGATCTTGCGTCGTCTGCAAGCGTTTTTCTGCCAAATCTGTAGATACACCAACTGCATCACCACCAGCTGATAGAGTTCAAGATGCAGCTGTTTTCCAAGTAACGAGAGTGGACTTTGCTGGTCCTGTGATTTTGAAAGACAATTCAAAGGCCTGGATATGCTACCTGTGCCGTTTATAGAGCTACGCATCTTGAATTAGTCACATCACTATCAACTGTGGCATTTTTACTGTGTTTCCATCGATTTGTTTGTAGAAGAGGAAAACCTTCGATTGTATACAGCGATAACGGAACGAATTTTACAGGGAGTGCAAAGGCATTATCTTGCATTGATTTCAAACAGGTTTTTGTTAAGGCGAGGGATCAGCAGATTACCTGGAAATTCATACCTCCTAGTGCTCCCTGGTGGGGAGGCTTGTTGGAATGATGAAAGGTCTGCTGAAGAAAACCTTAGGTCGAGCGAGTTTAACATATGAATAAATGCAAACAGCTTTATGCAACTGTGAGGCCATTTTGAACGAGAGACCTTTGACAACTGTGTGTTCTGACGCCAGTCTTACTGCTCTTACACCTGCAGACTTCCTAAAAGAGATAAAACCTAGCTTTGTTCCGGACATCAAAACCAAAACTGATCCCAATCATCTGCGAAGGAGAATACAATACCTACAAACAATTAGAGAAGCTTTTCGAGTAAGGTTTCGTCAAGAATATTTAGGCGCCCTGTGTACTAGGCAGAAAAGGAACACCTTTCAACCATTGAAAGTAGGTGATATTGTGATCATTGGAGATGATAACAAGAAAAGGATCTTATGGCCACTCGGAAAAGTGATGGAAACAATGCCGGGTACTGATGGAGTTGTACGCCGAGTGAGAATGAAAAACTAAACAAGGAGAGCTAATCAGAGCAGTACAAAGGGTGTATCCTTTAGAAATAGTTTACCAGTTGCTAAGTGTGAGAAATTTACTACCAATAACAGTAGAAAGGACAGTTTCTTTGAAAGATAAGAGCTTTGCAAAAATTCCCGTTGTGACTAGGAGTGGACGAGCTGTTAGAAAACCTGACAAACTATCTCTATAAAAACTCCATAGTGATTTAGAACTTTAATTTTTATTTCAAATGATCTTGTAAAGTGTCATTTTAACATAATATATACTTAGGTGGGAGGATGTGAAATATTATGTGCTTATGCGCAGCCTATTTTTTGTTCCTATTTAAAGATGGCAACGAGAAGAGTTATGGTGGTTGCCATGGTATGTTTAGAATGTAAATAATAGTTTTTTGACTAAGAGATTTGTTTTTTTCTTCTTTGGAACGGCGATGCTATAATTTTGTTGTTGAGTAAATAAATCTTCCTTTTATTAAACGTAATAGTAGAGTTTTCTTAATTATTTGATTCGAAGTCTTTTGAGTATCATTTGAGGTCATCTTTTATTGGTGTATTTTTTGACAACTGATGTTTGTGACGGAATTCGGCCAGAGACCGTATAACCTTTAGATGAATATATACCCACGCTGCTTTTGTCCAATTGTTTAAATCCGTCTGTTGCCAGAACAATGCTGCTGGTAAGGTTTCGATAGCAAAACTCTTTAAATAAGGCTCTTATCTGGGGTGGGGCTAGATTCTTGGTTTGGAATGCAAAGTTGTCTAAATGAATGACGACGTTTGGGGGAATTGGAGTAGGGGTATGGTATTTAATGATGTTATTTTGGGAGAGGTTCTTGCTAATCATCCATTTATGCATGTATGGTATAAGCGGAGCCAATTTACCTTGTGGAAGGTTGGATAGTGGGAGATTAAGGTGATGGAAGACTGGAGAATATGACTGTAGGGAGGTGTGGCGGAAGCAGAATTTAGCTGCTATCCATTTGTGACGAGAAGCTAATTTACTCACTCCCGCTTCTTTGAGAAGTAGTAGAGTGGGTGTCCATCGAGGTAGTCCTGCTGCTACCCTAAGCGCCGCGTTGTATAGGATTTGTAGGGTTCGTAAGCCTGTTACACTTGAGGAGGTAAAGATGTGGTTACCGAAGTCTAAAACACTTCTGATGCATGAGTTTACGATTTGAAGAAGATGTTCTGACTGGGCTCCCCAGCGGGTGGTGGCAATACAGTGAAGAGCGGAGAGTTTCTTTAAAATTTTTTGTTTTAGTATTCTGAAGAGGTGGTGGAAGCTCAGGTTACTGGGGAAGTGAAGCCCGAGAATTCGGAGGTTTTGAACCCACGGGATGGGCTTATTAAAGGTGTTGAGACTGAAGTTATCACCTGAGCGTCTTCTAGAAAAATTGATGACGGTTGCTTTTTTCCGGAACGATTTCGAGGCTCCAGTCCTTACACCATTCCTGAATAAGGTGGAGTGAAAATTGCATCTTATGTCTTACTTATGTAGGTGGTTTCAGCGATTGCTATAAGGTAGATGTCGTCTCCAAAAATGAGGCAAGTATGTCACCTGGGAGGATGGGATGCAGGTCTGGCACGTAAATCATGAAAAGGAATGGGGAGAGCACAGATCCTTGCGGAACGCCTCTGTTTATAGGAAAGTTGGCTGAAAGCGCTTTCCTCCATCGCACGGCTATTTTTCTTTGGTTGGTTTGTGGATGAATTTGGCTGCTCGACCAGTAATTCCGAACTTTAAGAGTTTGAGGATTAAATGTTCCTGGTTTATACTGTCATACGCAGCGTGACTGTTCAGGGAGCAGCAAATTACATACTTTTTTTCGAACCGAGCTTGGAGCCGGGGGACTTGCATTTTGAAGCTGTGAAGGCGTCGTTGAGTTCTTGTAGAGAGAATGGTTTGTTGTATTCTTGATCAGCTCCGCTGAAATCCAGTGGTAGTGGGTTTTTGTTTGGTGGTTTGGAATAGAAAGCTGCAAATGCATTTGCTTGAGACAGTGGGCTGTGAAGCTCTATGTTGTTGATCATGATTAGATTCGACGATATATTTTGGTTTTCTGGGAGGTTAATAATTGCACGGAGTATTTTTCCAATGGATTTAGTTTGACCTGCGTTGACACAAACGTGATTCCAATATTGTCTTCGGACTGAGTGTATTGTTTATCGTAGCTCAGCTGCTGTTTTTTTGTATGTGTTCCACTTATCTGGGTTGAGGGATCTGCGCGCGATTCTTAGATATTTTCGTTTCTTACCTAATAAATAGGAGCACAGACTGTTCCAATAGGGTGGGAAGAGTGGATTAATCGCTGGTCTGAAAGAGGTATGTTTCTTTATTTTTTGCTGGAAAATAGTTTGAAACTTTTGAGTTGTGAGGGTATTTTCGGTTCGAATAGTTTCTTCAAGGTCACGGGTTAGGTTCTTCCAGTGCACTCGAGTTTGCCTGTTCGAAGCGGGGTTGCTGTTTGGGGTATTAAGGGACATGCTCACAGGGGCATGATCGCTATCAAATGTGTCTGAGGACACTACGACATTCATTTTGGGAAAAAAATCAGCTGAAGTTATTGTGAGGTCTAGAAGGGAGGGTTGGCACCCTGGTTTGAAGCATGTGGGGACCTTCGTGTTTAGTAGAGAGAATTACGCTTCTAGGATCAGCTCGAGGAGCCTATCCGCGTCTCTTGCAGCCAGTCCATTCAATATTGACCTTTAGGGGAATAAATATTCACTAGTAAAAATGAGAAATCAGTCGTTGTGATCTGCACCGCAAAGATTTCATTATCTGATGTTGGTAGATTTGGTATTGAAATGATTTTCGATGAAATGTTGCGGTCAACAGCGATGAGGAGTCCGCCTCCTCGACCTCTCGTTCGGTCCTGACGGAAAATTGTTTTGGACGGAACACGGAGGGAGTCTGCTGAACTTAGAAACGTTTCCTGAAGAACAATTATATGTGATTGAGAAAAAGGTTTTATTTTAAGCCAGTGAAGTTTGTTTTTAATACTTCGGCAATTCCAGGAAGTGATGTTAATTGGCATTTTGTAGACTGTACAAAAGGTAGCTAGAAAGTTGTATTGTCAATTGCAGTAAGGAAGTAGAGGTTAGCTTTTGGTTTAATTGGTCGATGATTTTGTTTGAACTTGCGAGACCTTTTGGGTTAGACCTCTATTTTGTGGTCTTGAGGTTATGCCTCGCATTGGTGCAACTGGGCCCTGCCCTTTAGTTTCTGGTCGAGATTCTGCTTCAATGTAGGTGGGTATGTTCGGTGTGGGTGACTCAGTGTCGGTCACGAAGGGAAATTCGGTTTTAGAACCGTGATCTAGGGCTTCCGCGTCTATTGTCGGGCGAAATTTCTTACGTGAAAGATTTTGGTGAGGTTGTTCGATGTCTTGTCGAGAAGTCAGAATTTCTAAGACTTTAAATATTTTGTCGAAGAGGGTGTCCTGGCGTTGAGTTAACGCCAAGAGTTTTGCGTCAAACACTGTAGCTACTTCTGATACTGCTGTTTTGACTATTTCTTTGATATCCGCAATTTGTTCTGAACGGTCGGATTTCACCACTGATGCAAACGTTGGTTTATCTTTTTGTGATTTATATTGTCTGCGAGCTTCTGGAAACGTTAAGTGAGATTCGTTTTTGAAGCGTAAAAATCGAGCTTCCTCTAGTCGTGCTTGGCAATCAGGGTAGTCAGAGGCGTGGTTCTCTCTGCAATTGCTGCAGATCGTTGTAGGGCTGTTGCACGCAGATTTCTGATGACTTCCACTGCACTGGCTACAAATTTGAGTAGGAGCTGGGCAATTCTTTTCTAAGTGTGTGAATTTGTAACATTTATGGCACTGTCTAAGACGGTCATAAAATACTATAGGTCGGAAGCTATCATAGAAGAGTCTAAGATTCTTTGGCGTGTATGTTCCGTAACAGGTTACTAAGCAGGTTTCAGAGGGGACGATATCTCCCCTTTTTTTGGAATCGTCGAATACTGTATACTTGGATGTTGCTGTACTCTAATTCGGCTTTTAAATCACAAAGATTTAAGTCTAACGGTATATCGTGTAGAAGGAAGCGAGATGTAATGTTTTCTTGTATCACTTCTGGTTTGGTAGGTATATCAAATAGAGAATTTAGGTTGCTAAGTTCCAATGCTGTAGCTAAATCAGAGGTTTGAATAAGTAGTTTGTCCTGTCTTGTATGAGTGCATAAACTAATTTTTCTTGGGTTGCTAACAGCGTTCGTTAGAATTGTTTTTAATAGCAAAGGTTTTTTGGGAAACGAGTTTACTCCTGTTGGCGAGAAAAA